TCGCTACGTCTGGTAGCGATCCTGCGCTCTGTCGCCCTCTGACAAGGGTTAAGGGGCGGGGTCATGATAGACCCCCATTTCTTTATGTTGGATATGTTAGGTTTTCTACTTGTCCACAGTTTATAAGGGGTAAAATATATTGCCTTATTTGGAACTCTATTAAGAATATACATGGATGTGCTTATTGCTTCTCCCCAAAAGGTCTTGGGTAGATTAGCATGAGCCATCATGGATCTAGTCATTTCTATGAGGGTTCTATTACGCCTTTCAGCTATTCCATTTTTCTGTGGCGTATAAGGCATAGTAGTATGTCTTTTAATACCATATTCTTGGCAATAAGCATTGAAAGCTTCAGATGTGTATCCACCTCCCTTATCAGTTCTAAGAACTTTGATGTTCATATCCAATTGATTTTCTACTTCCCTTTTATATATTTTAAATTTTTCTAAAGCTTCTGATTTATGGTGAATTAGATAAATGTATCTAAATATAGAAAAATCATCTATAAAAGTGATGAAGTATGACATCCCTCTATGAGTTTTAAGATTGAGGAGCCCCACAAATGTCTGAGTTGACCACATTCAATAACTCATTAGTTGTCTCCCTTTTATTGAATGATTTCCTAATCATCTTTTCTGACAATTAGTGCTGACAGGATAGAAATTCCTCATTATTTAGATTTGGAATAAGACCTTTCTTTATTAACCTATTCATTTTGTCTTTTTCTATGTGGCAAAGCCTAAGATGTCAAGTATATGCATCAACAACCATTACACAATCAATATAACCAAAATAAGATGAAATTTTATTATCAGCTTTCTCATTTACATGAAGTAAGAACAAGTTGTGGTCATCAACTAAGTGTCCCCAAATATAAATTTGTTCACGCTTTCTGATTGATACTTTTAATGATTGGAAACAGACTTCAAAGCCTTTTCTAATATGTAAGGAAACAGATACAATATTTTATCTCATACAAGAGATAAAATATACATCAGTTAATACAAGATCGACTGTCCCAACATACAACCTACAAATTCCTATACCTAATACATCAGAATAGGTATTGTTCCCCATGTAGATGGGCTTCTCCCCGGCTTTTATTTCTTTAAAGTCCTCGAAGAGGCCTTTTGAGCTTGCGTTGTGCCGATTAGCACCTGAGTCTACCCACCATCCTTTAATGTCGTGGTCTGCCAGCAGGCACTCAGAGACCACACAAACAACTTCACACCTCTTGCTTCTATTCCAGCTATTCTTTGGATTTTACGGGTTTCTATTCTATGAGCAGCAGTCCTTGAAGTGACCTGGCTGACCAGATACGAAGTATTTTGGCGGTCCATATTTAGTTTCTTAGTTGTAGGGCTTAATTATTGTTCCTTTTGTTAAACTTCCCTTGAAATTTTTGGTTATCAGGCATTTGTTGGCTAAATTTGGGAGGTCCTTGAGCAAGCATGAGTTCACTCCTTTTATCTTTGTTCATGTGCTCTTGCGATAAGACTAGTTGCATAGGTAGGTCCTCGAATGTAAGAGATTTTGCATTCAACCTAAGTGCAATTGTTACCATCCTCCATGAAGGTAGAAGACTATTTAAGATAGTGGAAACTTGCATGCGCTCGGGGACTTCATTCCCAACAACGGCCAAAACCTTAGCCATAACGAGCATATTGTTAACATATTCCACTGCATTATTACCTCTTTCATCTTAAATGAATTATATTGCACTAATAGCAATTAGAGGTGTGTTTCAGAGGTTGAGTCATATTTAGTTTTTATTGCCTCTAGTATTTTCTTAGATGTTTCATGATGCTTGAAAACCTTAATAAAGTCATCTTGCATAAAAGTTAACAAAAATGTTTTTGCTATGAGGTCATCTTCTAAAAAAATTTATACCCTTTTTCTTTCTTCTTCAGTTGGTTTATCACCAACTTCTGGTAGATCTTCTCTTAGTATATATATTTTTCTATCTTGGAAGAGAATATAAAACATCTTCCTCTTCCACATCCTAAAACTATTTCCATTCAATTTTTCAACTTTAGAAAGTTCAGCCATTACAATTCTACTGGCCATTTGCTAAGTTTTGTGTGAGCAAACTAATCCTTTCTAAGTTCTAAAGACGCTAAACAAGGCACCAAAAAATTAATATGTGATCAATACTTGTACAGAGAGAGCCGCAATTATTTCACAAATAATGTCAGTTAATAATTGATGCCTTGAAAAAAATTTATGGAATAGGCAATCTCCAAAACTACAAGCAAGCACTACAATTATCAAGGATAAAATTCCCCTTTATATTATTTATTTGGGGTGCAAAAGCAATATCAAGTATGTGTGTGCAATATCACCAATATAAACAAGCAACTTCAGCGAGAGTATTACCAAGTAGTATAAGCACATATTTATTCCAATGTGAAAATATTAATGCAACTAAAATTGGGCTTTGACCACCAATAACAAATAATATTGATGGTTCATCAAACAATATACCAAGAACAATGGCAAAAGCAAGTACCCTTCTTGGATCAGCAATTAAAAACAAAACCCAAGTGCAAATAAATGAAACAGAAAAGACCAAAGTATTCCAATTAAAATATCTGCCAAAATAATGTGCCTTTATAGATAAATCCCAATACATGAATCACAAAATCACAGTCACAAAACAAAAAATTGCCCAATAACATATAAACTATCAAGAGAGCCTAATTAATCAAAGAATATTGAACTGAGAACAATTCATGTATATAATTCCCAATTCAATAGCCAAAATGAACAAAACATATCAGACCGTCAAAAACAAGAAAAATGAAGTTCAAAAAAATATATATGTGCACAGAGGAAGAGGAGGTGTCAAATTTTTGAAATCAGGATTGAGAGCTTCCTGTGAATTATATCGGGATCGTTGGCCTTGACTCTTTAAATTTTCTTTCTGATAGAAGATTGTGATTTGTGAACGGTCTGATTTCAATAGAGAGGGAGAAAAAAAGAAAGGTCAACTGGGGTTTAGAGAGAGTAATCCAATGCGTGAGTTACTTATTTTCACGAGGTATGGAAATAACGCATCCAAAATAAAAATCGCTTATTTCCAAGAGATAAATAAAGACTAAGGATAAATAAGAGAATGGAATAAAAGTTATCTTTTGTAACTTAATGATAGACATGATACCGCATCCGTAGAGAAAACCATGGCGATGAAAGCTTCAAAGTTGAAGTGCCCTATGTATATGTAAAGTAGTATGTATGATACTTATCATTTAATCAACACTGTGAACCAAGATAAGATAGTGGCGGGTGATATACAGGAGCACGGTTTATACACAAAACATTGGGCATAGATCGTAGCAAACAAATCACACAAGCTCTATCTCTAAAAAAAATTCAAAGTAAAATTAGGGAAGATGGAATCTGGCGGCTCTGATACCAATGTTAGCAAAAACTTAATGGCGCGCATATGATATCAACCCGAGATCAGAGAAAAGTGTCGTGAGTCTGGTAATATCAGAGCTCGGATATTTTTTGCCTTTTTGAGAGAGAGAAGAGGAGTTGAATGTTTATAGATGAAGCTCTGTGTTTCTTCTTTAGCTTCCATTTTATAGGGAGAAGAAAAGGGCTTAACGGTTATCTTTCCAATGGGTCGCTAAGGAAGGGTCTTCCCTGATCTTAGAGACATTTATCCAATGTTCATATGGACGTTGGTTCATGTGAACATTGGATGTGATAAGAATAGGATTCCTCCCACGATTGTAGGACTCCCATCCCACAATTGTAGGCAAAGTCACGCTAGGCCTTATGGCCATACGTGTTAACAATATGGTCCAAGACTGATGTTAAGAAGTTCCACACACTCTCAATCCATTCTCAATTTCTAATGGAAAAAGTTTGCATAGAGCAGAGGCTCTAAACAATCAAATTAGAGCCCACATCAAAAATTTGACTAGAAGATGTTGTTTTGATGCTCAAAAATCCTCAAATTGATCATCTCGATATCAAGATGAATTGATATTAGAAAAAAATGGATTTCAAGTTTTAGAAATAGTGCATCTTGTAACACATTTTTTTTATCATAAATTTTCAAGTTTTTTAAGTTTTCATAGATCTGCTAGATTTACACTATTTTTTAAGTTTTAAATTATATAATTAGACATGAAAATATATTTTAATACTATCACAACGATTTACAGTATTGAAACGACATTTCGCAACAATATTTAAAGGTGGGCTTTAGTTCGATTGTTTAGACCCTAGGCTCCATACAAACCTCACCCGTTTTTAATTAATAATAAACCACCCAATAATAATAAGGGAAAAAGTTTATATCAGGGAGAGGCCCTAAACAATCAAATTAAGGCACACCTCAAAAAGTTCACTAGAAGGGGTTGTTTCAATGCCAAAAACTTCTCAAATTGATCTTTTGACCTCAAGATGTATGAACATGAGAAAAAATAGATTTCAAGTCTTTGAAATAAAGCATCTTATAATGCATTTTTTGGATTATAAAATTTCAAGATTATCAAGTGTTCATAGATCTACTTGATCAACACTATTTTTTAAGCTTTTAAATTTTATAACTATAGATGAAAATAAATTTGCAGGCCATCACAAAGATTTATAGTATTGAAATAACATTTTTGATACTATTTCAAGGTACACCTTACGTTGATTACTACCTCGACCTTATATAAACAACACCCAATAATAGAGAAATGATCCTATGGGACTTTCTTCCATCTATGTGTGTAGGACTCCAAAAAATCACTATTAAATTTGATACGGATTTACGAAAAAATTAAATCCCACATTTATATAATAACTTTTCTAAATAGCCGTGTCAATTTTAATGGTTATCCTTTCGAATATTATACATATGGATAGAGATAAGTCCTATCGGATCAATAATGATGATGGTATACGACCCTCCCCTACCGACTTGTATATAGGACCCCAATAACTGACCGTTCGATTTAGAACAAATCTCCATATAAGATTGGGAGGCTCACCGTCTAACCGGCTTCCCATTAGGTTGCCAGTGACTTTCCTTTGCCTCTCTCTCTCTAAAAAGCCCTTTTGCTCCCGCTCTCTGTAACTTTCCTCTGCCTGTCTTCCTCAAAAATACTTCTTTGAAAAAACCCATTTGCTCCGCTCTTTGTGAAACTCTCTACCTCACGAGAGTGTTTTCCTCTGCCTCTCTCTCTAAACGCTTCACAGCAGCGCTGCGCTTTGAAAATTTCCAAAACCCTTTTGTCCCCCGTACTTGACCTGCACATTTGCACCTAGAAAGTCGGGGCTGCATTTTATATCTCCTCAGGGGGAATAAGAGACTTTCTCTCTCTACGAAATCGATGAGGCAGCTGCTAAAGGGCAGCTTGTTTAAGGAGTTGACAGAGCCTGGTTTTGGGCACAATCGACGTATCTCTTCTTCATCAACCAAACCCATTAGGGATGCTCTCTTTCCAGGAGATGGAATTGGGTAATGTTTCTTCTTATTTCTTATTGGGTAAGATGAAGTAACCCATTAGGGCTACTTCTTCTTATTGGGTAATGTTTCTTCTTACTGGGTATTCATAACCATCATCTCACCGTATTACATGCAACAATGGATTCATTTCCACCAAAGGCATCATTCATTTGCTTCATTTTTTGTTTTCTTTTGTGCCACAGTCGGTAATTTGACCTGGATTTTATGTTTTCTTCGAATTGTGTGGAGCCTGACATGTTTTTGGCAATAGTTCAATTGCTTATTATCAGAAACATAGGATTTGTTTTGATAAATTCATTGAATCTGTTGCATAAAATATCTGTTTTATATGGTCGACCTGGTTACTGGGGACCAACAATTTATTGGCCTTAAATTCCCAATCTGATAATGTGATTTTACAGCATCATGGATTTTACTGTCTATTAAAATGAACACCCAAATTCCATCTCCATCTCATTGCTATTCTATGAGCAATTTAAGTTTCCAATCTGACTTACATTTCTCTTGTTTCATTTGCTAAATATTAGAAAACCAATTCATGGAGGAGATGAATTGATAAGATTGCGTTATATGCATTACCACTTGCTGGACCCTAATTTTCATGCTTGGCAAAAAAAAATAATCACTGAATTTTCTTTTTGGTTTTATTTCTTCTAAAGTACACTTGCTGGTTTTTGTAGGTGATGGTCAAGCAATGATGAAAATCATCTAAAGTTTAAAACTAATGGAAATCCATATTTGTTTGCCTCTTATTTTATGGCAATGCATAAAAATAGTAGCATCCTGTCATGAATTTGTTTGAATCTTGTTACCATTTAAACAAATTCATCACGGGACTTGTACAAAAAATTAAATTCATTATAGGATGCTGCTATCGTGTTGCATTTCTGCAGAATAAGTATTCACTTTCCTATTGCTTCCTGAGCTGCAAGCTTACTTTTAATCAGTCAAATAACCCTTATTTATGCCATGTGTTGCTATCTGACTACAAAAGTTGTACAATTTTGACTTGCACTATTCTAGTTGTATGAGAGTTCATTTCATTTTGTTTTTTGGGTTTCTGCTTTGAGAATGAATGTTTTGATTTACTGTGACATTTCTGATTTGATAGTATCAATCTTCCTTGAATTTGTGCTAAATCCATCTCAATTAAATTTTAGCACTCAGAGTCATTCTATGGACAGGTTTTCTCTGCTGCCCAAGTGCCCTAAGTGGGAAGAGCACTATGTAGGGGACAAAGTTGATCCTTGGACAGGGAGTTTCCTGACATGGGAAAGTTTGGAATCAGTCAGAAGAAACGATGTTGGCTTGAAGGTCCCATGGCTACACCAATTGGGAAGGGCCATAGGTCATTGAGCCTTACTCTGCGTAAGGAGCTTGGTTTGTATGATAATGTCAGACCTTGCTACAGCCTTCTTGGCTACAAAACTCGATATGACGATGTCAACCTTGTGACTATTCGTGAAAACACCAAAGGAGAGTATAGTGGCCTGGAACATCAAGTAAGTCTCTCTTTATTGTGCTTTACTTTCTCCCCTAAGTAAAATTATCAAGATATTGTAGTTTTTCTTGTTAATTGGGGCTATATTTGATGAACTTGTAGTTTTTCCCGATATGAGGTTAGGTAGTGAGAGTTGTGGTTGAAAGTCTCAAGATAATTACTCATCGGGCCAGCTTGAGAGTAGCAGAATATGCTTTCCACTATGCTAAGACGCATGGAAGGCAAAGGGTGTCTGCTATACACAAAGCCAACATTATGAGGAAAACTGATGGCCTTTTTCTTAAGGCCCAAAATATAGTAGCTCACCATTAGTTTACCAGTTTTTTTGAGTGTTTGTTTTACTCCTTCACCCATCTCTGATGTGCGCATCTTCCTCATTTATGGTTGATTTTCTTGTTCTGTTCTTGCAGTGTTGTCGTGAGGTTGCAAAGAAGTACCCTAAAATTGCCTATGAGGAGGTCATAATTGATAACTGATGTATGATGGTATTCTCTAAGGGGAATACGTAAACATTTTGTTCTTTCTCATAGCATTTGTACTCCCTTTTTTTGACAATGTATACAATGAGCACATGAGGTTTCCTGCAGTTGTTTCTTTATCAAAAGTTCCCTCACGGTGGGGTTCTCCCCAACATAAATCATGTCCCTCTTCCGAAGATGTCTCACAAGCCTGAAATCCAAGAGCCCAAGATACCAGAGTCCCCCGCAAACTGCTTGATTCTTCACCTTCTTGGAATGTAAAAATGTGAATCGAGTGTAAAAATGTGAATTGTATAGAACAAAATGTGTAAAAATGTGAATTGGTAATGTGAAACATTATTTCATTAATTATTGGAGAATTTGTATTTAACTTTTCATTATCTAACTTTGTGAACTTTTTTGTTATCTAATGAGATGCAATGTTACGGATATGATGTAATATAGGTCATGTATGTAGAGAGAGAGAGTGAGAGCAAGAGAAGAAAAAATCATAATTCGACCTATAATAATACTGAAAAATATGATCGGAACTGTATTTTTGTAACATTGTATTTTTCTATACAAACGTCCCAAATAGCCCACTATTCACATTAGAAAAAATTAAACTTGTGAAAAACCTTGCAATCTCTCTCTCTCATGCTATATTGTGTAATACATTGTTACATTGTTGCTAAAAGTGACATTTTCACATCCGACAATTTTCAATAAACAAGAAAAGATTTGTACACAAGGACATTTATAAAGTCCCCTTCATCTTCACCATTCTTAGCATTAACCAAATACTCCATTGACCCATCATACATCTTCATTGACCTCAAACTTAACCCAAATACTCTACTGAACCATCCTTTGGATTTCTAAGTTTGGTGTTTATATTCAAAATCTTGTAAAGGGGCTCAAGAAATGCTTTACATCCAAAATATAAACAAGAAATTAATATACAAAAAATAAGGGGACCATGTGCTAAAAAAAGTACTAAAAAATATCCCATGTTTGTTGTTTTGTGTTGCTCCCTCTTGAGCGAGAGGGTCAGATGCTGAGTTGGGCTATACCACTGAGTAGTTCCATAACAAAAGTGGGACTCATCCACAAAAGTGGTAACAAAATGTTGTGGTTGCATCAAACTGCAAGTAAAGAGTAAAAAAAATCATCACTAAGGGGCTCCAAATTTCATGGCCAAAATAAATCATAAATATATATAAAAAAAATGATTATATGAAACAAAATATATTTAACTAGCTTGCACGTATGCCATGGCTCTATAATAATAAAATCTTAGCTAAAAGGGACTACTATAATCTTGAATCATAGCCGCGCATGGCATTTATCATTGAAATCTGTAAAGTAAGTTAGAAAACAAAAGAACTTGTCATACAACTGGCGAGAGTAAGAAGAAGGTAGACAGAGAGAGTATAAGGTAATCAATATTTACAAAATAATCAATATGTTACCCCTGAAAAGTGTGAATCCCTACTTTTTACCAATGAACAAGGACGTGAATTATGTCTCACTTTGTTGCACATACGACATGTAACAAACCTCGCGACGGCTTCTCTGCTGGTGATTTGATTCTTTTGATCGAATGGTGGCCCTTTGTTGTTGTCAGTAATGGATTTTTCAGTGTAGCATTACTTGCTTAACAATCTTGATTTACTTCACTTATTGTCATAGCTATTCCCATGTTGCTTTCATTGCCGCAAACTTGTGATGGATTTTCAATACCTTCCTCATGGATAGCTCTTTGCCTCAATAGGTATAAGCATCTGCTGCTTGTTTCTCCATAGGTAGTGTTGCATTCAAAGTTGGTGTAGAGTAAGAGGTGACATGATCTAAATGGGATTCATCATTGTACCGGCGATCAAGGGCTTTTCATATTTAAGTACAAATTCTTGCAAGGCAGTTAGAGAGTTAAAAAACCCGTGGAAAAAATAGTTCATACTTTTACTTCGTTGGGTAGTAGAGCAATTTGCAAAGAATGTACCACGCAAATAGATTGGTATCCATTTATGATATACTAACCAGTTATTTTCCTTTAGCTCATACTTGTCAATAATTAATCTCCATGAGCTCTCGAACTCCTCAATTGTTTCGGTCCAATTAATACAATTAAGGAACTCCCTAACAAAAGTAGGATGTTTTGTGCAAATACTATCCAACTTCTCGTTGACCTTTTTAAAGATGTGCCATTTGCAAAATCTGTGAACACTGTTTGGGAATACACGAGCAATAGCTCCTTGTATGGCCTTGTCTTGGTCGGTGATTATTGTAATTGGATGTTTACCATTCATTGCTGAAAGCCATGTCTCAAATAGCCAAACAAATGACGATTCGGTTTCATCTCTCAAAAGTGCACAACCAATAAAGTAGAATTTGTATGGTGGTTAATTCTCGTAAATGGGGCAAAGGCATTTTAAACCTATTTGTCTTATAAGTTGTATCAAAAATCACTACATCCCCAAAACATTGATATGCATTCCTTGACCTAGCATCAATCCAAAAAATATTTTCTAAATGACCATCATCAGTTACATCAATTGCGTAAAAGAATGAACGATTTTCACTTTGTATGCGCTTTACATAATTTAAGAGTAATTGAGCATCATTGTCAAGACTTTTATTTTTAAGGTTTCTAAGCTCATTTCTGCAATCACGATCCATTAGGCCTAAATTACCGTCTCCACCAGATTCTACTCTAAAAACATTCATAATCGTATTAATAGGAATCCCGGCTTTATGAAAAGTATCAATAATACTTCTCTTACATTAAGAAACAACCCGATGCGATCAGAGACAACGTACCTTACTTGAGCTTACAAATACATGATTGTGGTCCTTGTCGAACCGTGTAACAACCCACTTGTTAATACCTTTCTTACATATTTTCATCATTTCTTTGCAACCAACTCTTGTGTCTGGTACCTTCTGAGTAGGTTTTCCACTATCAATTTTCCTTGAACGAAATCCTTCTCTTGAGCATAGAAATTTACGAGAGCGCACGACCCCTTCATGTTGTGTTTTTTTTGTATTTCCCATGCACATGCTAAATCCCATTCGCCTCGTATATTCATTATAGAATGATTTTGCTTCTTCCTCAGATAAAAATTCCATCCCCACAAATGGTTCACAAGCAATGTTACCTTCATTTGGATAGCTTCCCAATCTTCTATTTTCATCTTCCTCACTGCAAGTGTTTATAACACCAAGCTCCTTAGAACCATCATTACTACGTTTTGCATGTGATTCCACTAGTTCATGTAGACTTTTCACAGGTGCCTGTTGCCATTCAAATGATTGGTCAGACTTCAACACAATAAAAAAAGATTGGTCAGATTTCAACATGAACAAAAAAACTAACCAATTCTGTTGCCATTCAAATGATTGGTCAGACTTCAACACAATAAAAAAAGATTGGTCAGATTTCAACATGAACAAAAAAACTAACCAATTCTGAAGCACTCATGACCTTGATAGAACTATCAATTCCTTCCGCATTGTCACCATACCATAAGGAATAATCTTCAACGGTTGCCTCCATGGTAACGAAGAAACCTTAAAACTTTTTGGTGTCTCTTCTCACTTAATGGGCATTGGGCAGCAGAAAAAACCTATGTCCATAGAATGACTCTGAGTACTAAAATTTAATTGAGACAGATTTAGTACAAATTCAAGGAAGATCGATACTATCAAATCAGAAATGTCACAGTAAATCAAAACATTCATCCTCAAAGCAGAAACCCAAAAAACAAACTGAAATGAACTCTCGTACGACTAGAACAATGCAAGTCAAAATTGTACAACTTTTGTAGTCAGATAGCAACACATGGCATAAATAAGGGTTATTTGACTGATTAAAAGTAAGCCTGCAGCTCAGGAAGCAATAGTTAAGTGAATACTTATTATGTAGAAATGCAACACGATAGCAGCATCCTATGATGAATTTAATTTTTTGTACAAGTCCCAGGATGAATTCGTTTAAATGGTAACAAGATTCAAACAAATTCATGACAGGATGCTGCTATTTTTATGCATTGCCAAAAAATAAGTGGCAAACAAATATGGGTTTCCATTAGTTTTAAACTTTAGATGATTTTCATCATTGCTTGACCATCACCTACAAAAACCAGCAAGTGTATTCTAGAAGAAATAGAACCAAAAAGAAAATTCAGTGATTAATTTTTTTTAGCCGAGCATGAAAATTAGGGTCCAACAAGTGGTAATGCACATAGGGCACTCTTATCAATTCATCTCCTTCATGAATTGGTTTTCTAATATTTAGCAAATGAAACAAGAGAAATGTAAGTCAGATTGGAAACTTAAATGGCTCATAGAATAGCAATGAGATGGAGATGGAATTTGGGTATTCATTTTAATCGACAGTAAAATCCATGATGCTGTAAAATCACATTATCAGATTGGGAATTTAAGGCCAATAATTATCGGTCCCCAGTAACCAGATCGACCATATAAAACAGATATTGTATGCAATAGATTCAATGAAGTTATCAAAGCAAATCCTATGTTTTTGATAATAAGCAATTTGAACTATTGCCAAAAACATGTCAGGCTCCACACAATTCGAAAAAAACCATAAAATCCAAGTCAAATTACAGACCGTGGTACAAAAGAAAACAAAAAATGAAGCAAATGAATGATGCCTTTGGTGGAAATGAATCCATTGTTGCATGCAATACGGTGAGATGATGGTTATGAATACCCAGTAAGAAAGAAACATTACCCAATAAGAAGAAGTAGGCCAAATGGGTTACTTCATCTTACCCAATAAGAAATAAGAAAAAACATTACCCAATTCCATCTCCTGGAAAGAGAGTATCCCTAATGGGTTTGGTGGATGAAGAAGAGAGACGTCGACTGTGCCCAAAACCAGGCTCTGTCAACTCTCTAAACATGCTGCCCTTTAGCAGCTGCTTCGCCTATTTCGTAGAGAGAGAAAGTCTCTTATTCCCCCTGAGGAGATATAAAATGCAGCCCCGACTTTCTAGGTGCAAATGTGCAGGTCAGGTAACGGGGGACAAAAGGGTTTTGGAAATTTTCAAAGCGCAGCGCTACTGTGAAGCGTTTAGCGAGAGAGGCCGAGGAAAACACTCTCGTGAGGCAAAGAGTTTCACAAAGAGCGGGAGGAAAGGGCTTTTTCAAAGAAGTATTTTAGAGTGAGAGAGGCAGAGGAAAGTCATAGAGAGCGGGAGCAAAAGGGTTTTTTTAGAGAGAGAAAGGCAGAGGAAAGTCACCGGCAACCTAACGGGAAGCCAATTAGACGGTGAGCCTCCCAATCTCATCTCGAGATTTGCTCCAAATCCAACGGTTAGTTATTGGGATCCTATACAAGTGGGTGGGGGAGGTCTTATAGAAAAACGTTTATATAAGGTTGCAACTTTAAAATGTAGAATTATAAATACACCTAAAAAATCTACCGAAAAATATTATTTTAATGTTAAAAACTCTCTAATTGATCATCTCGACATCGAGATATATGAATATGAAAAAAAAAAAGATTTTTAAATCTCAGAAATAGTGCATCTTACAACACATTATCTAGAGTGTCCATTTTCAAGATTTTCATATATTTATAGATCTATTTGATTTTGACCATTTTTAAGTTTAAAATTTTATAATTAGATATAAAAATAGATTTTGGATAATCATAATAATTCTTTACACCAAAATTACATGTTACAAAAACATTTGGCGGTACACCTTAATTGGATTGTTTAAGGTTGCAATCTTATTAAAACCATACCCATAATAATAATAATAATAATAATAATAATAATAATAATAATCCTATTATTATTATTATTATTATTATGGGAAAATGACCTTGCGAGACCTTCTCACACCCATATGTGTTGGACCTCAAAAGATCACTATTAAATTTGACACATATATCTAGAAAAATCAAGTTCGACACTCATGTGATAACTTTTCTAGAGATCTGTGCCAAATTTAATGGTGATCATTTGGGGTCCTACACACATGGGTGTGGGAGGGTCTCATAGGATCATTACTCATCATAATAATAAGAGTAATGGAAGCT